GAGCCAGCCTGGCGCCCCATGCCTTGTTTTTATAAGAAGTAGCAGAAGAGAGTTAGCTAGTGCGCACACCCAGCTGATTGCCTCTCCATCCAGGTCTCAGGAACTTTGTGTTCTAGTCTTTCAGAAATCACACCCTTGACTTCATTATCCCGTAGATATATATATTCAGCAACAAAAATAGTCTGTAAGGCCTCAGGTTTTAGCCTCCAAAAATACTGAGGGGCAAGTAAAATATTTAACAATTGTCTTAGAATAAATAGCTGTCATTAAGGCTCATGTTTAATTCATTATTCATGTGTTTAGCACCTTTACTGGACATTCACTACGTGACAGACGTTGTGCTTACATCTTAAACTGACCCAGAAGACTCAGCCACTTTGGGAGGAGATACATGTCTCTATAATAAGTAGAGTGTGTGTTTTCTGTTGTTGAGCGGAGAAGGGGAAGCTTCTGCTCGCAGAAGTTGTGGCAGGGAGGGAGGCAAGGCCGTGCGGAGGGTGGTGGGTAGTGAGGGGGGTCAGTAACGATGTGGATGAGGGCACGGTGGAATCAGAGGGGGGGTTTATTTTATTTATTCATGAGAGGCAGAGACGCAGGCAGAGGGAGAACCAGGCTCCCTGTGGGGACCCCGGGGTCACAACCTGGGCGGAGGGCGGATGCTCAACCCCTGAGCCACCCAGGTGCCCCTAAATTAGAGATTTTTGTCACGTTTGGGAAACTGCTAGGGTTTGGGTAACATTGGATGAAAACGGGAGTTCAAATAGGGTCGAAAAAATTGGACAATTTTTTTATAGTCAAAGCTTCAGAAGCATTTTAGGCAAGAATGTGCATGGAGATCAAGTTTTTCTGTAGAAATTTCAGATCACACAGTCGAACATATTTAGGTACTGAAAAGTGCTCTTGAAAAGTCAGCTTGGGCACTAACATTTGCTCATTGAGCATTAGTCAAGCATATCAGTAAAAGAAATGTCTCGTCAAGGTTTTGGTGACCAAGTAGGTTGGTTAGAAACGTGATGTCACCAAAATGCGTGTAAAGACATGAAATTTTGGGGATCCCTGGGTGGCGCAGCGGTTTGGCGCCTGCCTTTGGCCCAGGGCGCGATCCTGGAGACCCGGGATCGAGTCCCACGTCGGGCTCCCGGTGCATGGAGCCTGCTTCTCCCTCTGCCTGTGTCTCTGCCTCTCTCTCTCTCTCTGTCTGTGACTATCATAAATAAAAAAAAAAATTAAAAAAATTAAAAAAAAAGACATGAAATTTTAGGATAGGAAAATTTTGGTAGCTGCGGTGGAAATTTCCTTAGTCCCTGGCAGATCCCTAGGTGGTCTTGCGTGAAGAAATAAGCAGCATTTCTGATGGGAGCGCTCGCCCGACGGCGCAGCTTGTGCAGAGGAGCCAGCGCCTGTCGTTGTCAGGAGTTGATGCCTCTCGCTTGCTCTACGGGAGAGCTTGGGGCGCGGGGGCGGGGGGGGGGAGTGCGGCGGGGAGCGCGGCGGCGGGAGCGCGGCGGCGTGGGGGGCGGGGCCGCGGGGCGGGGGCGGGGCCGCGGCGGTGACGCGCGCGCACGGCCTTGTGGGGCGCGGGGCGCGCCCGGGCGGTGGTGGCCGGCGAGGTGGGGGCGGCCGTTTGTTTCCTCGCGGTGGCGGGCTCGCGCGCTCCCCCCTCGCGAGCGGCGGCGGGTGGCGAGCGGCGGCGGCGGCGGCGGCGGCAGCGGACGGCCCGAGCCCCGGCGGCGGATCGGCCCCCCCCTCTCACGGTTTGTTGTGTGTTTGATGTGTTAAAGCAGGAGCGCGGCGGCGAGCGGCGCCATGAGCAGCAGCAGCGTCGTGCCCGGCTCGGCGGGCCCGGGCCCCAGCGGCGGGCCGGGCGGCGGCGGCGGCGGCACCGAGGTGATCCAGGTGACCAACGTGTCCCCGAGCGCCAGCTCCGAGCAGATGCGGACCCTCTTCGGCTTCCTGGGCAAGATCGACGAGCTGCGCCTCTTCCCGCCAGAGTGAGTAGCGCTCGGGCCTGGCCGCCGCCTTCCGGGGCCCGGGCCGCGCGGGCCTGCGCTCTCGGGGGCCGGGCCCGGCGGGCGGGCGGGCGGGCGGGGGGGGGGGGGGGGCGGCGGCGGCACGGGGCCCGCGGGGCCGCGCGATGGCTGCTTTGAACAGAAGCAAGTGTTGGAGCTCTTTGAGGAGCAGCCGCGTCCTTGGTCCGTCCCTACGGGGCTCCGGTGGCGAGGTCCGTCTCCGCCCACGGCAGCGTGGTCCCCGCGCGGCCCGCGGGGCTCAGCCCGGAACGGCGGACCCTCCCTTTACACGCCTCCGACGCGGGGCTTTACACAGCGGTGGATTTTGGAGTTAGCGTGGCTCTCCGTGTCTGTTGTGTGGACTCGTGCTCGCTGCACAGCAGTGAGTGCCTGGATCGCCGGGGAGAGTCGGAGCCGAGAGCACAGGTGACCAGTACCGGGCCCCGCGCGCCGTGCACGGACCCTCCCCGGGAACCCGGGAACCCGGGAACCGCCGTGCTTGTGCTCCGCATTCGTGGTCGCCCTGTAGAAGCTGATCCTACTGCAGTGCTCAGTACTTTACGTATTTCATCACTTTCTACTGAAAGTATTTTTAGATGATTCCTCCTGTTTTCAGATGACTATGTTGTCTTGAATTTTTAGAGGGATATACATGCAGAAAAGGTTTCAGAGTTCATGGATTTTCAGGAAGTGTAGAATTCTGGGAACAAACATTTTGCTTTGAACGGAAACTTGACTGCTTTTGCTAAGGAAGAACAAATAGCTTTCATAATAGGAACATGCAAAAGTATTTTGCCGTTATTCCATTTTCTGACAACATGTCCTTTGTTAAGTTTTTGTGAAATTAACAGTGAAAATGCAGAAAATGAGAATGGCACGTGTCATTATTATAATGCTGTTATTCAGAATATCTGACATGCCGGATTGATTTATGGAATCATTCTTTCCAGCCCAGCAAGTTACAAAGAAAGACTCTTGTTATAGTTCCTGACTTTAAAATGTTGTTTTGAAGATGCCTTTAGGATGCATTTGTGAAAAGGTGACACAGGTATAGGCTGTTTCCTGGCTTCTCTTTTACCGAATGAATGACCAGTGTCTTAGAGTCCTGATGGACCAGTCTTGGCTTTTTTGCTTTGTTGTCAAAGGAGTATTTCCATCATAACTGGGGGTGACTGATGTGAATCGGATAACGTGACCTGGGGTGCTGTGCGTTGGGACTCCTTTTCCCGTATTGGGAAGAAGATAGATATTGACACATCTTTGCTCTTTGACTCCTTTATGTTTGTTCCCACATTTAAATAATTTCTCATCTGACACTGTACAAGGTTACAATATAGTAGATCCTAGTACTACCTCAGTGGCCTTCTGGATTTGAATAGGATGGTTGTAGAGTCTCTTTTGTTCATTTAATGTGGATTTTTTTTTTTTTAATGTAAGTCTTAATTGCTAATCTCACTTGCATGACTTGGAAATGTTCTGGACAGTTTCTTTAAGCTTATTACTCTTTTCAGCATTAGATTGCCGGGGATAACGTGCTGTGGAGTCCTAAATAGTGCTCCAAAAAGGTGCATCATTCCAAAAATCTACTTTTTTACTCACAGAATAAGGGTAAATGGTTCAGAATATTTAAAATTCTAACTATCATAAACATGTTTGCCACTTTTTTTTTTTTTATGGGGTGTATGTGTGTTTTGTTTTTCCACCAAAGGCATTCATATTCACTTAGGACTCTTCACCTAGATAGATCTCTATGACATGCTTGCTGCTTTTTGTTATTCAAATGTCACCTAATCAGAGAAACTTTCCCTGATCACCCTGTATGAAAATAAAACACTCCTGCTCCCTCCCTTCCTCCCCTGTTAAATTTAACTGCCTTGTTTTTCTCTAAAGCACTCCTCACCAACTGTCAGGTTAAGTTTAGCTTCCTCTCCTGGAGTATGTGTCCCCTTAGGACAGCAACATCACCTATGGAGCATTGTTTAAAGTACATATAGGACAGCCTTAACCCACACCTACCGAAATGGTGCTTTCCGTTATAAATACCTATGGGGAGGGGGCAGTGGTGATTGTGGGATCTGGGATTACAGGAGACATTTCAGTGTCCACCTCCTCACAAGGTTTCTCCCTTTGTTTCATTATTGAATCCTTCTCTTTCTTGGTTCTTTTAAGCTGAAAATTGCTGGCCTATAATTTCACCCAGTGATAATGATGTTTTAACAAGAAATAATACTCTCACCCTCTCTTCAGTATGACAGCCCTTAACAGCTATTTGAAAGCCTCTGTCGGCCTTCCCCCTCATTTATTCCCTCTCTTATAAAGGAAAGTATTCCCTTTAATTCTAGTTGTTCCTAAAATGCATTTTGGAAATTCAACATTGTGTGAATGTCTAGTATATGCTAGATGCTTTCCTATTTTATCTTAAACCTGTTTTTTTGAACAAGTGAACTGAAATTCACATACGTTGTTTTGCACTCCCAAATCTCTCTACCACCGTCAGAATTCGTATTTCCACCCCAGTGTTGTGATTCTCCTTTACTACTTGGTAAAGTATTTCCTTGATTCAGCCAAACAACTTATGAGTGGAATCATTCTTTTGACAGTTAGTGAGTATTCTTTCCATGTTTGGTTTTAGTGTATTTCAGATTGGAGAATATAACTGGAGTGTTTATTGGGTAATGATCCCAGTGAAGCATATGTCAGTTATGCATTAACTGAAGGTTCACATCAATTATTTAGGTAATTATTTTGGTGGCCAAAAATAGATTATTTTTTATACTGACCGAAAGACTTCATTTTCCATGAATGCATAGGCAAGTAGACGGAAACCGATGACTTGTTAACAAGCTGACATTGAACTCATGTGCTCACTCATCCAACTGGAAAACAAAAAGTTTAAAATTTTCTTTCACAGCAAAAAAATAAAACCTAATACAGTAAACTTCTAAGGAAGAGTTTTGCGGACATTCTAACAAACTATCTTAGGAAAAAAATAAAAGTATGGTACACATCACAAATTTGAGTCTTATTCTTACAGAGGGCCATGCGAATCTTCTCTGTCATTCCAATTTTAGTGTATGTGGTGTGGAAGTGAGCACCAGAAATACTTTAATGATCATAAGTAACTACAGTTGGGTAAGATTATCTTTGAGAACTTTTTATTAAGTGCAACATTTTGCTGTATTTCTTTATAACTGAATAAGGACTCAGTGGAGGAGAGGGCTATAAGGTCAACAGAGTCACATTTTCAGGTGAACGTTACCTTTGTCACAGATCTGCCATTTTGAGGGCTTAGGAGATGCCTTTATTAATAATTTTAAGCCCCAAATTCTCCACCCAGAAATGGTTAACACAGTATCATGGTGGGAGTTGAAAGCGTGTCACCAGTGGTCTGAACCAGAAGCTCTCGTGCTTTAGTTGGCATAAATATCAACCGTGGATCTTACGAATCAAAGCCCTCCTGTAAAGGGATTCTCAAATTCATTGGGCTTGATGGAAAACAGAAACCTGAATTTTCCATGAGCATCCCAGAAGACTGGGAAACAATCCTTAGAGGACATTTTAATAAAAAGATTGGGAAAAATAGTATGCCACTCTTTACCTAAGGGCAAAAGCATCACATAGGGCTGGCTTTTTCCTGTCTTGCTTCTCATCAACTGCCCTACCTCATCTATATTAATTCTTAAATGTAAAAGATGAAAACAAATTTTTAGAACAAAATTCTAAGGTAGAAAAATTGATTTCATGCATCAGTCTGAAAGTGAAATTTACATGCTATCTTATCAGCATGTGTCTTCTTTTAATAAATTCTGAGAATATATAAGACTGTAACTGAGTCCAAATAGTAATGGTTTTAAACAAGGTTGTTTGAAGCAAGGAGAAATGAATTATCTGCCTTTCTGGGTTGTCTTACGGTGACTCTCTTTTCCTTGGTATTTAATTATTCATGTTTTTACTTCCACACCACTTACGGGTTTGATATAACCAAGTAATAGCTGGAAGTAATAGCAGTAATATTGCCATGACATGAATGGATAGAAAAATTATGAGTCATTTAAATTGCCAAATTAATGGAAATACACTGAACGTGTAGGCAGTATTTCCTAATTTTATTTTATAAGGAACTGTTCACTGTATTGATATTTTTTAAAAACTTAATATTAGAGTCATTTTCTTTTTTAGTCAGATGACAAGAGTGTCAAAGAAATGGTAGGGATCATTTTTTCAGAAATGTAAATGTCTATTACTTCCCAAACCATCATGTTAGGTGTTAAAAATGAAGGACAGCATCATTTTAAAGAGCTTTTTAATTTTGTAAAAATGTGGATATGTAAGAAAAGAGAAGTGCAATAGCTAAACCTGCTGAAATGGCATTCTTTCCAATATATGGGTGCAACATTGTTAAATTTTAGACCTGTAGTGCTTCCCATTAAAACAATACTATATCCACATTAAAACAAAACAAAACAAAAAAAAAAACTGTATCTTTTCGAAAATATTTGGCAGTAAGCTTCCTTTAATAAGATGGCTTAAACTCCATTTGGATATACAGTATTGTCAACTTTGCTTTGAGCCTAGATTTGGATCACTGATTGGTGTATGGCCAGTGCCTTTCAAGAAACCTATTGAAAGTTCTAATGGGTTTGAGTGCTTGGGCAACGTATGTAACGGCTTCATGTTAGTGCTCAAATTATGAAGAATTTTCTTTGCAACAACAAATACCTCTGAAATACCAGTGTAACTGAGTCTGATGTGATTACATTTTTATGTACACATGAAAATCTAATTTATTTGGAAGAGCTAGCAATAAGCCCTATTTTAAAACCATTCCAATTTATTGTAAGATTTTTTTTTCATTGTTGAGTCTTAAGATGCAGTTGCCTTGTTATAATAAGGCAGTTGTTCTTTACCCTGGGTGCATATTAAAATGGTCACAGAGGGATCCCTGGGTGGCGCAGCGGTTTGGCGCCGGTCTTTGGCCCAGGGCGCGATCCTGGAGACCCGGGATCGAATCCCACGTCGGGCTCCCGGTGCATGGAGCCTGCTTCTCCCTCTGCCTGTGTCTCTGCCTCTCTCTCTCTCTCCGTGACTGTCATAAATTAAAAAAAAAAAAAATTTAAAATGGTCACAGAGAATTAAAGAAGGAGGAGGCATTCCGTACATCAAAAGATCTTGTGTTAATTCATGTAGAGTGAAGAGCCTGGGGCTCCCCCCCCCCCCCCCGTGGTTCTGATGTCTAGCCGGGGATGATGTGATTATGACTGTTTTAAGCCATTACTTTTCAAACAACTTTTGGTTTGGGGTTAAGGGAGCAACTCTTAACTTTATTTAATCTTTTTAATCTTTCCCTTTTTTCACAGAGTTTTGTGGCAGAAATTTGAAACACCTTGTATTTTAAAAAGACAAAAATCCTGTTCACTGCCTAATCTTTCTTTCTTACCCTGCCGTAGGTTGCATTTTAGCACTTGTTTTACCTAAGAAAGCAATTTGCTGGGGGAATTTTGTGTAATGATACCAGGGGGTACTATATATCCCCATGTGTGTACACATTTTTTGTTTTGTTTTTCTGAAAGCAATCTGAGTAAGACAGCCTTAATTATTTATAATGCCTCGGAGTTATAATATGCTGTAGGTGGAAGAGGACAGCACCTAGTAGGCAGGTCAAGAAAACTCATTGTCAAGTAGGTAGGTGTACTTTCCAGCAATATTTTTTTGTCCCTGAAGTGGAAGTTGTGTTTTTTTGTTTTTTCACTCTGAAAAGTTATCAGTAACGAAAAGCTTTCTAAACCAAAATTATTTTACTTGCAATTTAAAATAGCTGGTATTGGTACTATGGAAAAAATGTTGACACTTTGGTGGTCTTCTCAAACTGTGAGATTATAGTTTCAAACTGTTTTTAATTTGATGTACTGTAAATTTAAACAGTGGTTGTTTCTGTCTACACGCAGTTTGTGAGTTCACTGGGCAGTACCTTATTTGAAATTTTTGAAGTAGTTAAATACATGTGATACGTATTTTTATCTGCCTGTTTTACTTTTGGAATGCAAATGTTTATGAGTCATACGTTTGTGTTCTAGCTGATATTCTTTTCTCTCTCTTTTTTTTTTTTATGTTATTTGTTTATTTTGTAGTGATTCACCTTTGCCAGTCTCATCCCGTGTCTGCTTTGTTAAGTTCCATGATCCGGACTCAGCAGTTGTGGCACAGCATCTGACAAACACTGTATTCGTTGACAGAGCTTTGATAGTCGTACCATATGCAGAAGGTTTGTGCTTTGTTTAACTACCTATGAGGGCATCCTATGATGACCATCTACCTCAGTATAGTTCTAGAGTGAGCGTTAGTAGCATGTTAGAAATTTAAGCTATTAACATTTTGAAACCCTTGTTATACTGCAGTCCGTGTTTTTACTTGCACATTTTTTTAATTCTAAAAATTAGACCTGTTCTTATAAGATATTTAACTTTTTGCATTCTTTTAAAACATTTTAAGTTCGTTAAAACCGTATCCCTAATTGTAATTTCTTAAGCTGTATCTACTTAGTTAATTTAATGTTGAGTTTTATGAAAAAGTCCTGAAGGTGAATGGTTCATTCCATGCGCATTTAATTTACATAGAAACCTTCAAATAAATGCATGATGTTATTTCTGTTTTGAATAAATGACTAGGTTAGTTTTATGTATGTAGTGCTCCCTCTGACAGATTAACTAAAAAAAAAAATCCCACATTGAATTCCAGTATACCAAGGGTTGCAATGATTTTGGTTTTTATGAAAGTTCAAGATTTCCTGTAGCTTAGGTGCCAGATGGGCACTGGGTAATTTGTTTTTATGCCAGATTTTCTTGTTCATTCTTGCTATATTTTCTAGATATCTCTAAATAATAAATTCTTCTCTCTGTTATTTGTGTGTGTGATTTTTGTAGTGGAGAAGGCAAATGCAAAACTCTTCCAGATGACTGAAAAACAGTGGGTCCTCTGCAGCTACAGGGGATTCTAGACATTAACTAAAGGCCAGCAAGCACTCAAGTCCCCCAAGTGTTTTCCTGGTGTAACCATTTGTTAACTACATTTTCTCTCTTTTTACATTTTAGGCTGTTAAAGTAATTTGACAGAAAAATATTGAGCAGGGTTTTTGGATCTAAAAAAGCCACTGTGACAAGACAGCACTATATTAATTCCATTTTGTAAAATTTTCTGAGACCTATTTTATAATTAGTTTGTTCCCAGTGTACTGCGACTTTATTTGCTTTTCGGTAACTATAAATTTTGATCAAAGAAAGCACTGAAATATGATAAAATTACTGGATTTTAAGCTAACTAACGTAATGCTGACCAGAATTTAAATGCTATCCCCTTAAATGAACTGGTCAGTGGAAGCAGAATTTCGATGTTGTTAACTTTAGATGCTATCTCAGAGCTTTGAATACCAGTGTGAACATTCACACCGTGCCGTGTAAAAGTTGTGAAATGTCTAGTCCTTAAAACTTAGAAAAATTGCCTTTGTGGTTTTCTAAGAAATTAAATTGCATTCATAGATGGGTTAATAAGTAAGGCATGCTATGTAATAGTAGTACATCTATCTCCATGATATTAAAGTGTGTGAGCCCTGTTTTAAGGTTTTAAAGTATATGTGCTGATAAGCGTTTGAGTTAGTGTGTTTTGATTAAGCAATTTCTTTTATATCAGTGTGCCTGTTGTAGGATAAGACGTATCACCAAGAGAAAATTTACAGAATTCAAACTTAGGATAAGTAAAATACAGTTTTTGAAAAAAAGTTCAAATCATGTGAGTAATGTGCAAAACTTAGACTTTAAATTTAAAGAATTCTTACTGGCTAAGTATCATAGTTCCCGAGTCCTGAACATAATACAGTATATCATATAACTGGCTTTCAAAAGTATTTTTAGACTTGTAGTAACCTTTCTAGATCTGTTCTGAAAATGAAATATTTAGGAGGGTATATAGAATTACAGAAATATTAAGTTCCAGAATCTGTTTTTGGTGTATTTGATTTATTGGTATGGTATGCTGTATTAATGTTACCACCGCTGAATAACTGATGTACTCAATCCCTTTGTCACCATTCACCCTAGTTTTT